GGAAGAGTCAACACACATTATAAATAAATATAAATATAAATATAAATATAAATATAAATATAAATATAAATATAAATATAAATATAAATATAAATATAAATATAAATATAAATATAAATATAAATATAAATATAAATATAAATATAAATATAAATATAAATATAAATATAAATATAAATATAAATATAAATATAAATATAATAAATATTATAAATATAAATATAACTGTAAACATAAATATAAATAAAATAATATGGTGAATGGTGATAAATGTAAATAAGAAAAATAGTGTCCAGTGTTATTTTATGCAGAGCAATAATAAAGTTCTTTCTGATAATGGGGTAGTTAGGCAGATTACTGAAGAAAAGTGAATGGGAGAGCCACAAAACTATCAGCTGGAAGAATGTTAAAGCAGAGGGAACAGCAAGTGCAAGTGTCTGAAGCAGGGGTGTGCTTGGGCTGTTTGAGGAATAGTGAGGATGCCTGTGGAGGGGGTACAATGAGAAGCAGGAAGAGAAGTAGGAGGGGAGGTCAGAGAAGTAGCTGGGGCTAAATTGTGTAGGGCCAAATAGAATCTTGTAAGGACTTCGGTTTTTACTCTGATGAGATGAGAATCCACTAGAGGATTTTGAGCAGAGAAGTAACACAGTCTGACCCAACTTGTGAAAATGCTCTGGTCACTGTATAGAAAATGTTTGGAAGCTGTAAGGGTAATTAGGAGATATAATAGTAACCTAGGCAAGAGGTGATGGTGGCTTTGAATGGGGTGGCTGTGGAGGAGTTGATGAGAGCTGTCAGGCTCTATGTGTCGTCTGAAGAATTCACAGGATTCACTGACAGTCAATATGAGAGAAAGAGGGGAGTCATAATTTTTAGCCTGAGAACTGGAAATGTGAATGTGCAAGTTAGTGAGATGGATAGACTGTGGGTAGGTCTATAAAGTAGAGGGAAACCAAGAATTCCATTTTGGAAATGTTTAGTGTGAGATGCCTGTCTATGTCCATATCATGTGATGTAGACAGGTGGATTTATAAGTTCAGAGTTCAGAAGAGGGGTCTGGGTTGGATACAAGAATGTGGGGTCCTTAGAACATGAACACCTTTAAAGCCATGGGAGTTAGAGGAGGTCACCTGTGGAGAGTACAGATGGAGAAAAGAAGATGCCCAAGAATTTTCCCATTTCTATTCCTAAAATTCCATTTAGTTTTTAATAAAAACCGTCAGGGAACTTTGACCATGTACTTCAAGACTCCTCCATCTCGTATAAGACTTACACCACATTGGCACTACCCAAGTTCCCAACCTTAGGAATCCTTCTTCCTCACATGGTCAGGTAACATAAATGTTCCTGCCTCTGCACCTTTGCTTGCCTTATTTTTGGCACTGGTTACCACCTTTCTACCTATTAGATACCACCATTCTCCTGAGGCCCAGTTCAAATCCTATGTCCATGAGGGATGGAGCGATTCCTATTGTTCCACAATCAAATCTGACCTCTTACTCTTCCTTAGCAGCCACTGTATTCATTTGGACCCGTGGCAGATGTGGCAGATTAGACATGTGGCACTCACCCCAGCCCTTTTTTGGACTTCTTTTTTGTAATGAGAAACACACACACACACACACACACACACACACACACACACACACACAGTAATCCCAGATTGCTTCTCAGTCAGGGTTTCTACCTATGATCTAGGTTTCTCAAGTAAATATTTGGGCTCTCATGAGACTTGGCCATTCTGAGGTAAATGCTACACTAAGTGGGTATGTTATTCTCCAGAGGCAGCTGTGTAGATTGTCTCTGGTCACATGGGCTGAGTGAGTGGAAGACAGAAAGAGCTACAACAGTGATATTTTCACTAAACCGTGTTGCAGTACAGTTAGACAATTCTCTTGGCTGTGTAGCACCCAATGCTGCTTCCTTGGACTTTCAAGAAATTCTATAAGCAACCTAATACTTTGTAATAACCCTTTCTGCTCAAACTAGGCTGAGTGGATAACATATTCTAAAATTAAACATCCTGACCAATAACGTACCTTTCTTATTGTAGTGTCTCATCTTTGGGACACTTTGCTGTATAACATGCTTTACTGGACTTTGGTTATTTTCTGTACTTGATTGTTTAGCTCCATGCTGACCAGAGATAACCATGTCACACGCCCCCTTGTGCGTAGTACAGCACCCAACCGTGTTCCCAAGGCCCTGGGTGCCACAGCAGCTCACAGGGCAGTGCGAGGTACGTAAGCGCAGTGGCATGCCCATTCGGGACCCTGAACAACCTACTACTGTTAAATTGTTTGGACCTTTCTACTTAATAAATGGATTTTTTTCATATCATAAAATAATGACTGAGGTAAAAGGGGATCATGAAGCAAGCAAGTTTGATAGCCTCCGCCCTGGGTGCTGAATAGAAATACATGTGTGGCTCATCTATGCTCAGATGGGACTCCAGGAGTGTGGTCCTCCTCAGTTCAGGAATGAAGGGAAATCAGGCCCATGTGGGAACCAGGCAAAACAGGGGGGATTGAAAAATAGGCCTCAATGTGGACGTAAGTGAGTAGTCCCTCAAATATGGTTCTCTAATTTTGCTCAAAAATCATAGACAGGGCCCCAGTGCCTCCAGCCGGCAGAGGAGCCATTGCTTCTCTTTGCATCCCTGAAGGCCTCCAGGTAGCACTCCCGGAGCCCCCTGTCAGCTCCCTCTTTATCTTTAATGTGGCTGCATTGTAACATTTTATTGGTTAAAATGAAGCAAATGAGCCCAGAAAGAAGGTCAAATATAGGCAGACGGCCTCGCCGAGGCTATGATGGAGATGAAAGGCTGTGTTCTGATTGTTGGCACGCCAGATCATATCTTTTGCCAAATGATATTTATACAGCTGAGAGGAGTATGTTAGTTTCATGTTCCTTCTGCACAGGAGGCAGAGCCATTTCAAGAGAAGGGTCCGAAATGCAATGCACATGTTTTACAACATCCAAGCGAGCGTCTCATTCTCAGATCCCCGCGCCCCTACACACCACGGCCTTGGCTAGGCTGCAGGCTCCGCTCTGGCCAGAACGCTGATTAAAGTCTCAACTTCAGATGATTATACTCCAGAATCAGACTTGAACCGTGTTGGGGTTTTTTAGCGTGTGAATTCAATTCATTTATGGTTCCTGAGGTTTAAGATTCATCGGAAGGAGCTAGAATTAGAGTGAGGAGACATTTTATCGGACAGTTTTCAACTCAGCCAAATTTTCCAGAAACTGTGGTCCAAAACTGGGACCTCATCTACCCAAAGCAGCAATTAGGTGGCTGAAAGGCAGCCCGCCGAGCCAGCCCTGATTTGCCTAATGGAAATGTGAGTCAGCATTCTCTGGGAAGCAGCAGCCAGGCCTGTGGGCCACGACGCATACAGACTGAGAATGTAAGCCATTGACAAGCAGTTTCCAATCTATGGAAAGCAATAACGTTACAAGCAAGTTGCTCTGTTTGTCCCCACGACTCTGGCAACTCTTAAAGCAGTCATTACAGAGCTCTCTCTGTGTTTTTAAATACTTAATGTGACATCCATTTAAAACGGAGAATACTGCCTGAGACTAGAGCTGCAGAGAAGAAAAGAGGGTAGGGGATGCTGGAAACAGATTTTTGGTCGGCTAGAAAGAAATATGTGCAATCTTATAGTCGCTCCCCATATTCAACTTCTACAGAGCAGTGTGGAGCGGATGATGGCTGGGAACACTGTAGAAGTTCAAGCAAATGCTGGTTTGTGTTTTTTTCCCTTGAGAACCAAACTAGGGGGGTGCCCTTTGGGAGATAAAATGTTCTGCTTATAAGCATGCTTGTCTCTGGGACAGGAAGAACATTGGCGACTCCTGATAATCTATTTCTCAGCTAAGAATGTGACTGGGACAGAATCCTGAACAAAATCAGAACCAAAGCATGTGGATATTCACTTGGCAATCTTTTTGCCAAAACAGATATAAGATTTGTGTTGTGATGTTTGCTGCTTCACAAGTGAGGGTCTTTCTTTACCATGAAACACTGAAAGCAGCCTGACCAAAAGCCATACATTGAAAATGGGTCGTATCCCCAAGACCTTTGAAAGGCCAGAGAGGTCACTCACTTAAACAACTTTGCACTTATTTTAATGCAGGGTCTTTGTGTCAGGCCTTCATTCTCTCTCCTTGGGGATCACCTATTTATTAGGGCAGGTGGCTTAGGGTGGAGAGGATCCTCGAAGAGGATTCATCAAATGGGTGGCGCATCTGGTGCTGTCATTAATCCGGGTGTGGCGGTGGGCAGCTCATTCAACTCTCTAGGACCCAAGTTGCCCATCAGTAATGGGGCAGGGCAGAATAAAAATGCTTTCTAAGAACTTTTACAACTTGAGCAATTTCTGATGTTAAGAATTTAAGAAGCCACTCGACTGCCTTTGTGCTGCTGGACTAGCTTCTTTGCATCTACCCACCCTCTTCTTAGCATTGCCCCCTCAACACACAGCCATCTGTTAGGTTCAATAGATTCTTATTTAAAAACCAAGTCAAACTCTGCCATAAGTAATTTATCTTATTGGCAACTGGACCTAAGAGATTTCTTTGGATTTTTCTGCAAGATCCCAAAATCACCTGTCCCGTTTTGCAAAGTAAACCAAAGATGTCAAATGAGTAAATAAATCAGCTAAATCACTGAAGGAACTGATTATTTGACTGATTTGATTAATCAGTTTAGTGGTTCCCCATACAGTCATCTTGCATCCCACTGGACAGCTTGGGAGAGGAGGCCCTGTAGGGTGGGCTCAGGCATGAATCTCTATTGCACCATTTGGTAGATGTATGGCCTTGTGGGAGTTTCACAGTATCACCTCGCGGCAGTTTCTTCGCATGTAAAATGAAGATGAAGTTGCGTAACGTATAGGGCTGTTTAAATGAAATGATGTGTATCGAGTACCTGGCACGCCACCAATTCATTTCCTTTCTCCCGCTTACCTTCCACCAGGCTAGGAATTCCTTTTACAGCCACCCTGGCAAGTGGGCGTGGGTGGAACTTCTGGGAAAATTTCTCCAGGGGAGGGGAACTCATTACCAGAGAGTAATGCAGACAGCCAGATGAAGCCTAACAAAGAAAAAAGGCAAAGGTCTTCATTGGGGTTCAAAATAGTAATTATAAGAGTTTCAGGATAAAGAATCATAATCATAAAAGAATAAGATTTCATCTTATTTCAACCATGAAATTTTAGAATTGGACGTATATGCTCCTGAAAAGTATTCTTTTCTTTAGTATTTACAAAATCTGTCAACCAATATGCTTCCAGAAACAGAAAACTCACTGCTTTTTAATAAAGCTGTTCCACATTTATTCAACACTAGAGACCCAGTGCATGAAATTCGTGCACTTGGAGGGGACCCTCAGCACAGCCTGTGCCCTCTCGCAGTCCAGGAGCCCTCAGGGAATGTTCAACGGACGACCTAGGCTCCCCACAGGGAGTGGGCCTAAGCCATCAGTTGGACATCCTTAGCACTACCATGGAAGCGGCAGAGGCTCCCGCCACTGCTGCTGCGCTCACCAGCCATGAGCCTGGCTTCTGGCTGAGCAGCGCTCCCATTGTGGGAGTGCACTAACCAGCAGGGGGCAGCTCCTGCATTGAGTGTCTGGCCCTGGTGGTCAGTGAGTGTCACAGCGACTGGTCGTTCAGCTGTTTGGTCGTTCAGCTGTTTGGTCGATTTGCATATTAGCCTCTTATTATATAGGATTAGTATTAACATCTTCTTGCTTATTCCTAATTTCCACTTGATGCCCTAACTCCTCTTTGAAGCAGTTGAGAATGTTTATTCCTTAGCCATATGCAGGTCATCACATACTTGATAAAGAACCCCATAAGTTCAAAAATCTACTTTTGCCAAAATAAAAATTATCTAAATTTTCCCTAGAAGACATTAAAATCTATTCTTCTCTGTGAGAGTGAAGCGTCTATGAATAAATGAGAGGCTATGTGTAAAGGAAGAAAGTGGATGTTTGTTTAAATCAAGTGGTGAGATCCTAGGAAAATTTTAACATATGGTACAGCCTTGCTCATTTTCCTTTAAAGACATTTAGGTTTTTAAAAAAATAAATTTAATATTTTAATCCTCCCTTCATTCACTCATCCAAATCTGACAATGAATTTTCATACATATCTTTAATTTCATGGCACACACATGTGCAAACAAACACATACATTGAATATTAAAAATGGATGGATCTTTTTGCAGGGGACAAAACTCTTGAACTCTTTCAGACCAAAATATTAACCCACTGTGATAATTTCTCTTGCAGCTGACTTTAAGTGGCACTCAACGATCAGTTATACAGAAGGAAAAACAGCATCACTCAGCAAAGCATTGCCAAGTAAGAGCGACCAGTTCCACAAACCGGTGAGTGCTGCAGAATGTCAGAAGACACGTGGCCCAAAACCTAAAGTCCAAATGCACTGCCTTAACATATTAAGTGACAGTGGCATGATCAGCGAGGAGGGAGAGAACAGAGGTTCCCAACAGCCCCTCAGCAGGAAATCTGAATGTGGGTGGGCACACAATCTCCCTGTCAAGTCAGGAGGCTTTTGTGGCTCTAAACCTTGTTTCCTGCCTGGCAATTTTCCATAAAACAAGGCAGCAAATTTCCTTAGCCTTCAGATTCCTCAGACACCCTGGGTAGACAGCCCTTGTGGTGTGAGGAGCAGTGATGCCCCTGGTCTAAGCAGGGAAGCTCTGTGCCCCTCAGTGTTCCCACCACTTCAACCGCAGGGGCTGGTCCTCTTTCCCTGCAGGTCTCTTCATCTGTGCAGAAACGCCCCCCTTAGAGTGTTTACTCTGTGTCTCTACCACTTTGTGGCTATATTTTCTAATGCTCAAACATTTTGCTTTAAAAAAAAATACAGATTTAAATATAGAGTAGACATTTCACTTCAAGGAAATCTAAAAAAATCAGTGTAACCTGCCTCTTGGAATCCATGGTCCTTGATGCTGATGCTGATGCAGTGGACTTTCTCCTTTTTGCCTTATGATCCATCAAGGGATCTGACTAAAGGGCTTTCTAAGAGAGAAAAGCAAATATATGCCAGCTAAGGAAAACCACCTAAGGTTGCAAATTGTAATCAAGAAATATAATCTTTTCCCTCCCCCTTTTTTTCCCACCCACAGACTACAATAAACTTTCAAAGTCTCCTGCTGAACACAATGTTTGGAATCTCAGCCAAAAGAGAAAGTATACTTCTTTAAGTCCTAAAAATAACAATTTAAAATATCCAACTAATTCAACAAATAGTTATTGAGCATCTTTTCTGTACCAAGTATTGTTCTCAGTGCTGCGGATACAGCAGTAAACAGAAGATAAAAATCTGAGGTAGCAAGTACTGAGGAGGAAGGAGAAGAGGGTTATGAAGTGCCAATGGAGAGGAAAATTTAGGTAGAGACAGGCTGCATTGAGAAGATAGCTTTGGAGGAAAGATCTGAAGGAAGTGAGGAATCTACCCAAGTAGGGAAGAAAATGTGAAGTACTGGGAATAGCAAATGCAAAGGGTTTGAGATAACAGTGAGCCTGAAAGTCCAAGGAACTGGTGTGGCTGCAGTGGAGTGAGCCAGGAAGATGGAGAGAGATGAGGTCCGAGGGGCCAGATAATGTGACGCTTGGGGCTCAGAGGAAGGATTTTGGCTTAGATGTCAAGCCTTTGGATGGTTTTCAGTAGAGGAGCAAAAGGTGCTGACATCTTTTAACAGACTTGCTGTGACTACTAGGTTGAAAATATCCTGAAGCTGGGCAATTACAGAACTCCAGGTAGAAACAACTGGAATGATCCAGTAGAGATGCGGTGAAACTGGGAGGGTAGTGGGAAGGGGTTGAATCCTGAAGAGGAGACGCGAAGGTGATATCAAAAATGTTGGCCTGCCCTGGCCGGTTTGGCTCAGTGGATAGGGCATCGGCCTGCGGACTGAAGGGTCCCAGGTTCGATTCCGGTCAGGGGCATGTACCTTGGTTGCGGGCATATCCCCAGTAGGGAGTGTGCAGGAGGCAGCTGATCGATGTTTCTCTCTCATCGATGTTTCTAACTCTCTATCCCTCTCCCTTCCTCTCTGTAAAAAATCAGTAAAATATTTTTTTTTTTTTAAAAAGAAAGAAACCAATACATTTAAAAAAAACATGTTGGCCTGAGTAATTGAAAGACTAGGGTTGCTATTAGCTGGGACAGGGAAAGGAGCCGGAGTTTTGAAGCTAAAAGATACCAGGAGTTCAGTTTTAAACATAGTAAGGGTCAAAATCCACTAAATCTATACCTTTCCCCCTGTTCTCTGCCATATAAAAGAACCCCCTTTCTTAACACACACACACACACACACACACACACACACACACACACACACGTGCTGTGCTGCTTTCTACCATCCAGGCTCAAGCCTTGGGAGTCCTTTGATTCCTGCAGGGACTACCCCCTTGCTGACAGACTCAGTGCCAGGAGGTCTAGTTGTAATGGTTGCATTGCCTTTGAACACGGAGGTTTCTAAGGCTTGAGGACAAGTAGGCTAGAATTTGTTTACCACTCAGCAGCAACTTCTTCTAGTTGCTTTTAAAAATTATTATTATTATTACTAGTGGATCAACGATGAGGGTGGCAAACCACAGAAAGCCAAAACGAACCCTAAAGAGAATAATAAATGTCTGACCCTCAAGTCTGGACCATTTGTGATTCTCCGAAACCTACAGCAGTATTACACATGGAAGGGATGAAGACAGTGTACGCAACCAGTACTGATAATATTTAAGGGCAGGGAATCATCAGCTATTATTGTAAGAGAACATCGTTTATAATCCAGTTCCTTCTTTACTCGCCTAATCAATCATTCAGTCAACACACACTTTTTGAGAACTTACTAAGTGGCTGGCACTGGGAGACAGAAATGAATCCCATGGTCAGATCTTTCTTTCTTTCAAAGAGCTCAAGCCAGTTGGGGAAATAGGATGCAAATGGACGATATAATGTGTAGTCAGAAGGATGTGGAACTATGATGGTGATAGAAGGCCAAGAAGGACAGTTCTGCCTGGGCTGAGAGAGGAAGTGATGCTTGAACCTGGTTGGAAAGGAAGAGGAGAAGTACCTAAGGCTGGCGGAGGGGAGGGGAAGCAGGAGAGAGAGCATTTCTCTTGGAGGGAATGCCTTGAACAGGAATGAAGCTGTGAGCACATCCATAAGCCTACAAACTAGTCCACAGGAATGGGGCCCAGGGGCAATAGGAAAAAGGGTGAAAGACAAGGCTGGCTCTCAAAGGGCCTGATTTGAAGGGTGCCTGGATTTACCCTATGTGCAAAGGAGGGGCCATTAAGAAGGGAAAGGCTTATTTCACTTAGCCAGTCAGAGAAAGACAAATACCATATGATCTCACTAATATGTGGAATCTAATGAACAAAATCAACTGATTAACAAAAATAGAACCAGAGGAATTGATACATGGAACAGAATGACAAATGTCAGAGGGGAGGCAGATGGGGGGACCAGATAAAGGAAGGTGAAGAGATTAGCTAAAGAACATATAGGCATAACCCATGGACACAGATGACAGTGTGGAAAGGGTCGAGTGAGGGGGAGGGGAAGAGGGCTAGGTGGAAGTGGACAAAGGGTGGGGAGGAAGGGGGACATGTGTAATAGTGTCAACAATAAGAAATTAAAGTTAAAAAATGAAAGAAGAGAATGGCATGATTAGATTTGCTTTGTAGAGAAATGACTCTGGGGAAGGGACAAGAAATTGCACAGGATGCCTGAATATGTACAAGATCTTTAGGCCTGTAGGAATGATTACACAGATCCTAAAATGAAACAATTTCAAAGGGTTTTCTGTTTTTTTGTTTTGTCTAGTACACTGCAGGTTAGTTCAGATAGTTCTCCACATGGACCCTTACAGGGTTGCATTTGCCTAATAGTACTTGTCTGTTTTCACTGTCACGGAGCCAAACTGGAATGATTTTACTTATATCCTAAGTAAAATAAACATGAAAGACAAAAAAATTTTTTGAAAGTCCAGTCAATCAGAATGCTTCTTTGATTCTAAAGCTATTCAATATAACTCATCTACTTCATTGCCTAAATT